GCCACTGCACTCCAGTCTGGGTGACAGAGTGAGACTCCAACTCAAAAAATAAATAAATAAAAATAAAAAAAGGAAACAGTGTGTTGGCTTATGCCTCAGGACTGAGGAGGACGGTGGGCTCTGGGTGAATCCGAGCACCCACCTCCATGTCACTGCCCTCACATACCACATGCCACACATACACTCTCACACGCATGCTGTCACGTGCACATGCTCTAACACAGGTGCCTACACACATGCACCCACACACACCCCTACACTCACATACACACCCTGACAACCCCCTCCCCAAAAATCAAAGATCCTCTCCTGAGGATGGCAGAGCCACATCTCACCCACGGGGCTGGAGAAGATGAAACACAGAGGGTAGGACATGCGGCCATCCTCATGCACGTACTTGTAGCTGTAAACCACGAACCTGCACCAGGGAAAGGGAGTTCAGATTCAGGTGGGAAGAGCCCAGAATATTGAGGCTGCAGTGAGCCATGATCATGCCACTGCACTCCAGCCTGGGTGACAGCATGAGACCCTGACTCAAACAAAAAAAATCCCCACAGTACAGATGGGAAAACTGAGGCCTAGAGTCTTCTGCCTAAGGTTCTATGGACAGGGGAAAGATTTGAACCCAGGAAATTCATAAGTGCTCACCCACTATGCAATACTGTCCAGCCCACTGAAACCCTGGCTGTGACCAGGGATGACTACATAACTCACCAAGCCCAGCACAAAATAAAAATGTGGAATCCATTGTTCAAAAAGCAGTAAAAGGACTTTTTTTCTGTAGTCCCTCTTTAGACTGATTTTTATTTTATTTTATTTTATTTGAGATGAGGTCTCACTGTGTTGCCTAGGCTGGTCTCAAAGTCCTGGGCTCAAACAATCCTCTCATGTTGGCCTCCCTGCTGGGATTACAGTCGTGAGTCACTGCCCCCAACCTGATCATGGTCTTTTAAAATATGCTATTTGGGCTGGGCTCGATGGCTCGGTCTGTAATCCCAGCAGTTTGGGAGGCCAAGGCGAATGGATTGCCTGAGCCTGCGGGTTCAAGACCCATCTGGGCAACTTGGTGAGACCTCATCTCTAAAATAAATAAAAAAAATTAGCCAGGCGTGGTAGTGCGTGCCAGTAGTTCCAGCTAAATGGAAGGCCAAGGCAGAAGGATCACCTGAGCCTAATAGGTGGAGGCTGCAGTGGCTATAAGCATGTCGTTGCACTCCAGCCTGGATGACAGAGTGAGACTCCAACTCCAAAAAAAAAAAAATTTTCTATTTAAATAAAGTCATGCTTTTGGCTGAGCATGGTGGCTCATGCCTATAATCCCAGCACTTTGGGAGGCTAAGCCAGGAGGATCATTTGGGGTCAGAAGTTTGAGATCAGCCAGGCTCGGTGGCTCAGCCTGTAATCCCCAGCTTTGGAAGGCTGAGATGAGTGGATTGCCTGAGCCTGCGAGTTCGAGACCCGCCTGGGCAACTTAGCGAGACCTCATCTCTACAATAAATCAAAAAATTAGCTGGGCGTGGTAGCGCACACCTATAGTTCCAGCTACTTGGAAGGCTGAGGTGGAAGAGCCCAGTAGGTCAAGACTGTGGTGGCCGGGAGCGTGCCACTGCACTCCAGTCTGGGCGACAGAGTGAAACTCCAAAAAAAAAAAAAAAAAAAAAAAGAAGTTTGAGATCAGCCTGGGCAATACAGTGAGACCCTCATCTCTACATTTAAAATAAAATAAAATAAAAAGGAAGAAAGTCATACTCTCTTGGGCATGGGGATACTTGCAGGGGGAACATATATGCTCACAGGAAGATCTTATAACTTGTGATGCAGGGGTGTCTACCAGGCCCTGACCCTATCTGCACCACAGGGGGCCCAAGGACAGCAGCAGGCACTGGGATGGGTGCAGACAGTGGGTGACTGAGAACCTGTCCGGGGGCAGCAGGTGGTGAGACTGCGTGTGAACCATTTGTATGCAGTCCACTGTTCCATCACTTGGTACAAAACACAAATTCAAAGATTAAAAACTATAAAGAACATCAGCATTCACTCCCCGTGTCTGACGACCCCTCCTGGGCGCAGGATGCTGTGCAACTGTCCTACAGTGAAACCAATCTGGCTGAATCCCAGAGCCTGGGATTCAGGCTCAAAATCCAAGAGACACAAAATGAACTCAGTCAAGATGGAAAATTCTAACAGACCAGTTTTCATAGAACTGGTCAAAGAGCTTCCATCCGAAAAAGCACCAGGCCCATGTGACTTCACACAGGATTCTATCTAATCATTTTAGGTCAGGTAACTCCTTTGCTTACCTAAAATGTTCCCGAACATTGAAAAAGAAGGCAAATCTCATTGTTTTTTGTTGTTGCTGTTGTTAGCTTTTTCAATTGGAGTCTCACTCTGTTATCCAGGCTGGAGTGCAGTGACTCGTTCATGATCACCGCAGCCTCAACCTGCTGGGTTCAGGTGACCCTTCCACCTCAGCCTTCCCAGTAGCCGGAACTACAGGCATGCACCACCATGCCTGGCTAATTTTTTCTATTTATTGTAGAGATGAGGTCTCACCAAGTTGCCCAAGCTGGTCTCGAACCCGTGGGCTCAGGCAATCCTCTCACCTTGGCCTCCCAAAGTGCTGGGATTATAGGCATAAGCCGCCACGGAAAATCTCATTTAAAAAAAAATGAAGCACTTTGGGAGACCTAGATGAGAAGATTGCCCCTCATCTCTACAATAAATCAAAAAATTAGCCAGGCGTGGTGGGCGTGTGCCTATAGTTCCAGCTACTGGGAAGGCTGAGGCGGAAGGATCCCTTGAGCCCAGCAGGTAGAGGCTGCAGTGGCCATGAGTGTGGTGTCACTGCACTCCAGAGTGAGACTTCGATTCCAAAAAAAAAATAAATGAAGTGTAGTGTTGAGAATAAAACCTGACAACGTCTGTACAAAAAAAGACAGCCTTTAAGTCACTATTGTGTATAAATTATCAGTGTCAAATCCTGCAATAAAATATGACTAAGCCAGTCGAGTGCAGTGGCTCACACCTGTAATCTCAGCACTTTGGGAGGCTGAGGTGGGAGGATTGCTTGAGACCAGGAGTTCTAGATCAGCCTGGGCAACATAGTGAGACCTCAGCTCTGCAAAAAAAATTTAATAATTAGCCGGGTGTGGTGGTGTATGCCTGTAGTCCCAGTTGCTCAGGAGGCTGAGGTGGAAGAATCACTTGAGCCAGGAAGTCAAGGGCACAGTGAACCGTGATTGCGCCATTGCACTCCAGCCTGCGTGACAGATCATGACTCAAAAATATGTGTGTGTGTGTGTGTGTGTGTGTGTGTGTGTGTGTGTGTAACTATACCAACAAACAGGTCTAGAGTATGAACACTTGGCCTTAGAGATTCTAGGCCCAGGTCTTGGGCTGGAACCCAAACAGTCTCTCAGTCTATACCTCTAATATCACCCCTCTCCTCACAGCCTGACCCTCCCTCATAGGATACCTGGGCTGTCTCTCCGGCAACTCCATTTTGAGTTCCTCTGGGGAAATGTTCTGAGGCAGGAAACAGGAGAGAAAAAAAGGAATGACCGCCTTTCATAGTAATTGTTGCCCAGGCTGAGCACTTACTATGTGCCAAGGCAATGTTCTAAGAAACACGTGGATTAACTCATTGAACTCTCCCCCAACCCTGTGGAGTAGGTCCTATTATTATGCCCATTTTACAGCTGGAGAAACTGAGGCCCACAGGTGTTAAGCCACTTGCCCAAGGCTGCACAGATAGTGAGCAGCAGAGTTCAGATCTGAATCTGTTCAAATCATAACCATTTCACTGCACTCCCTTTCAAAGGGCCGGAGGGAGCCCTGCTCCTAACCAACCCTCCTCCCCTGTGAAACAGCCCAGCTCCAGTCTCCATGGACCCTCTCAGAATTCCTTATCACAGTTCTAGGAAGTAAGCCTCACCATCATCCCCATGTTCCCGATAAAGACAGGAGACCCCCAGAGACGGAGGTCTGCCTTTTTATAAAGGCATACTGCTAACTTTGTGTTAACTCATCTGGATACTCTTTCATTTGCAGGCCAATAGAATTATAATTATCATCATCCTTATCACTTTACTGAGCATATACTACGTGCCAGGCCCTGCTCCGTACCCGTGATGATGATTAAATCATTGCTTCCGTAAGGTAGATATTATGGGCTCCATTTCAGATGAGGAAACAAAGACACGTACAAGCAAGGTCTCTTGCCAAGGGCCTTAACTGAGCTGGAACTTGGCCTCCAGGTCCTTTTTGGCCCCCAATGCAGGCTCCTAGCATCAGTTCCAGCTGCCTGGGGCTCCCAGTCCCACCCTCTTTGGGGAGGTCCCACCTACCCCAGCCCCTCACCTGAAATTCTTCCTCCAGCACCACCATCTGCCGGTCTTTGTCCACCTTCACTGGGGAGGGGTGGCACACAGGGCTTAGACACTCCCCTCCTGCATGGGGGACACTGCCCAGCCCTCCCTGCCTGTCTCCACCCCCTTCCCGTCCTTCCCTGGGGAACGATGTCACTCACTTATGATGGCGGCATTGTCCGTCTCTTTTCGGAAGCGGAATCTCCGCAGTTTTTCCCTCAGCTCAGGGTCCACCTCGCACACCACCAGGGAGTCAGACTGCCAGGGGAACCCAGGAAGAGCTGAGCAGGCCTGGCCCTAACCCCTCCCCTTTCCTAAGCCTCAGTTTCTCCATCCATTAATGAAGAGGAGGGTCAGCTAGCCCACCTGATGCCTGCGTGAACACCAGGGCACTCAGCTTGGGAAGTGGAGCAGAGGCAGGATCACAGCCCTCTCCGCGGTGCCCTCAGGCGACACTCAAGGAGACCCAGAGTCGCCTTTGGGGCCTAAACCCTGAGGCACCAGATCGCTCACCCTGCAGCCAGGCCCTTTGCCACAGTTGGGTCCCCTTCCCAGCCCATGCCCTCCACCCACAGCCTGACCTTCCATCCAGATGTTCTCCTAGTCCCAGCCCAGACCTAAGCCCAGCCCCTGGCTCTTCCCAGGGGACCCCTGGCCCCTGACCATGGCTCTTCTGTCCTCAGACCTCTTCTTTTCTCAGTTCCGCTGTCTTCTGGAGGTGGGGAACCAGGGCTGTGGGAGGCGGGCTGAAGAGTAGGGGGAAGCCTTCATCCAATACCACATCCTGTTTATGCCCATTCTAGGACAACTGTCACAGAGGGCTCCTCCCCCTCCTTCCTTCCCCTCATCTGACTGAACCTGTCAGGGCTTGAAAGCTGCCTTGGTGTGTGACCTTAGCTAAGCCACTTCAACCCTCTGATTCTGATTGTTGTGAGGATAACAATAGCTTTACACAGTTCCTGGCATGGTGGACACCCTCCATAAATCATAAACATTAATAATGAACTCTTTTGCTCCTCCCCTCCTCCTGGAGGGCTTCCTGGATTTACCCCCATCCAGAATAGTTGCAGAGCTGGAGAAGGAGTTTAGAGTCTTCTGCTAGTCAGACTGCCATCCGTCATGTTGATAGCAAAATGGAGACCCGAGGGGCAACTCCACACCACCTGGATAAGGGTGACTTTTTCTCTTGCACTTACGCAATCTCGTCAGCCCTGCAGTGACCTATGAGGCCCTACAACAATGCGGTTGGATCCTTGTAGACCAGCGCCCCTCTTTTTTTATTTAGAGTGTTTTATATCACCCCCTTTCCCATTCTGAAAAAATTCCCAGATAATGTAACCTACTTACACACATAAATTTCAAAAAAATCAATATAATGTCCCAACTGTCATATAAAGAAGAAATAAAAGGAAAGTAGCTCATAAGAAAACCATATGTGTTGCAACGAGAAAATAAAAGCAAACAAAAGAAATTTCACAGGGTCCTGGGCCCACTTTGATTCAATTCGTCCACTACACTGGCTTCCCTCATGGTGGGCAACCCCCACCATGCACGGCATCCCACCCCCTCGCCTACTCAAGGGTGTCTCTGTAGCCAATCTCCCTTTTCCTTCTGCATCAGCAACGCCCGTGTCTACTGGATCTTTCCCTTTTAAGCTACATGCCGTGTTATTTCATCCATCCAAAAACGAAAAACCCGGCCAGGTGTGGTGGCTCATGCCTATAATCCCAGCACTTTAGGAGGCCAAGGCGAGAGGATTGCTTAAGCCAGGAGTTCAAGTCCAGCCTGGGCAACAATAGCACCTCGACTCTACAAAAAATAAGAAAAATTAGTCAGGTGTGGAGGCACACATCTGTAGTCCCAGCTACTTGGGAGGCTGAGGCGGAAGGATTGCATGAGCACAGGAAATCGAGACTGTAGTGAGCCAGGATCCTGCCTCTGCTCTTCTTTTTGAGTTGGAGTCTCACTCTGTCGCCCAGACTGGAGTGCAGTGGCTGCTCCCGGCCACCGCAGCCTCGACCTGCTGGGCTCCGGCGATCCTTCTGCCTCAGCCTTCCAAGTAGCTGGAACTACAGACGCGAGATACCACACCCGGCTAATTTTTTTTTTTTTATTTAATTAGATGAGGTCTCACCAAGTTGCCCAGGCGGGTCTCAAACCTGCGGCCTCAGGCAATCCACTCACCTCAGTCTCCCAAAGTATGGGATTACAGGCTGGGCAACAGAGTGAGACCCCTACTCAAAACAAAACAAAAACAAAAAACTCTATCTGCCTTCTAACTACTGCTCATTCATTTCCTTCCCTTTTCAACAAAATTTCTCAAAATAATCATCTACATTGCTACCTCCAATTTCTACTCCCAATTAAAAAAATTTCTTTTGTGTGTGTGGAGACAAGTTCTATGTCGTCCATGCTGGTCTCGAATTCCTGGTCTCAAGTGATCCTCCTACCTCAGCCTCCCAAAGTGCTGGAATTACCAGCATGAGTCACAGTGCTCGGCCTCCTTCTGATGTTCTCTGAAACCGTCTCCAACCAGCCTTTCCTGCCAGTCTCTCTCGCCTGACATGCCCTCGTTACGGCCACCAATGCTTCCATGGTGCTGAATCTCACGGTCAATTCACAGTCCTCCTCAGCCACATCTAACAGATTCCTTCCTTCCCTGTCCATGAAACATTTCCTTCACTTGACTTTCAGGACGTCATTCTTGCCTGGTTTTCTTTGACTCCTCTGGGTGTATTTCTCAGTCTCTCTTGCCAAGTCTTTGATTGATTGATTGATTGATTGATTGATTGATTGTTAGTCTCACTCTGTCACCCAGGCTGGAATACAGTAGCACAGTCACAGCTCACTTCTAGTCTCAAACTCCTAGGCTCAAGTGATCCTCCCACCTCAGCCTCCCAAGTAGTTGTGCCACCAAGCCTGAATAATTCTTCTTTCTCTTTTTTTTTGTAGACAAGATCTTGCTATGTTGCCCAGGCTGGTCTGGAACTCCGAGGTTTAATTGCTCTTCTTGCTTTGGCCTCCAAAAGCGATGGGATTACAGGCGTGAGCCATACACTGAATGCGCCCAATCTCATCTTACTATGACCTTTATTTTATTTTTGAGTCGGAGTCTCACTCTGTCACCCAGGCTGGAGTGCAGTGGCACACTCATGGCCACCACAGTCTCGTCTTGCTGGGCTCAGGTGATCCTCCCGCCTCAGCCTTTCAAGTAACTGGAACCACAGACTTGTACTACATCACACTCAGCTAATTTTTTTGCCTTTTTGTAGAGATGAGGTCTCACCAAGTTGCCCAGGCTGGTCTCAAACCCCCGTGCTCAGGTAATCCCCTCTCCTCGGCCTACCAAAGCGCTGAGATTACGGGCATGAGCCACTGCACCTGGCTACAATGACCTTTAAAACTAAATGATCTGCCCCACCCCCTACCCACTGCCTCCTGGACCTTGTCCTCAATTAATCTCGTTGGCTCACTCCTCTCCAGGCATCCTAGCCTCTCTGTGGTTCTATGAATAATCCTGCCACAGGAACTCACTGTTCCTTCTTTCCAGACCCTCTTTCTCTCATGGTTCACTTTTTTTTTTTTTTTTTTTGAGTTGGAGTCTCACTCAGTCACCCAGGCTAGAGTACAGTGGCACTCGCGGCCACCGCAGCCTCGATCTGCTGGGTTCAGGCGATCCTTCTGCCTCAGCCTTCCAAGTAGCTGGAACTACAGGCACATACCACCATGCCCAGCTAATTTTGAAATTTATTGTAGAGATGACATCTCACCAAGTTGTCCAGGCTGGTCTCAAATCCCTGGGTTCAGGCAATCTTCTCACCTCGGCCTCCCAAAGTGCTGGGATTACAGGCTTGAGCCACTGCATCCAGCCTGTGGTTCACTCTTTATTGCCTGATGAAAGAGGCCTTTCTCCATCTAAAATAATTCTAGCCCCATCACTCCATCCCCTTAACTAGCTTTATTTTTCTCCAAAGTACTTCTCACCACGTTACATTGTATTTCCTTGTTTACTCTTTGGGTCCCCCAACTAGAATGGGAGTGTGATGAGAGCAGGAAAATGTCTGACTTGTTCATTGTTGTATTTGTAACACCTTGAGCAGAACAGGACACATATTAGATACTCAAGAAATGGTATTGAAGGAATAAATGAGCCCGCATCTATCAAGCACAACCATTCCACACAGTGTGAACACAGTTACTAAAATGCAGGAGGTAGTGGATGGGGTTTGTGGTATCCCTGGCTTGATGTGGACTTTCCTCACAGTGTCTGTGATGTCACACTCTCCTGGTTTTCCTTCTCTCTCCCTGGCTATCCCTTCTCAATCCTCATTGAGAGTGGCAATTCCTCTTTCTGTTTCTCAGGGTCTGTCCAGTCCTTGCCTCCACTCACCCTTCATACTCTCCCTGGGCTAGGTCACTAATTTCCAGAGCCTCTATTATTGCTTTTTTTTTTTTTTTTTAAATGTATGTGGCCTGTGGCTCACACCTGTAATCCCAGCACCGTGGGAGGCTGAGGTGAGAGGACTGCCTGAGCCCAGGAGTTTGAGATCAGCCTGGACAACTTGGTGAGACCTCATTTCTAAAAAAAAAATTAGTTGGGAGTGGTGGTGCATGCCTGCGGTTCCAGCTACTTGAAAAACTGAGGTAGAAGGATCACCTGAACCCAGTAGGTCAGCCGGTGGAGGCTGTGGTAGTTGTGATTATGCCACTGCGCTCCAGCCTGGGCAACCGAGTGAGACTCCGGCTCAAAAAAAAAAAAAAAAAGTATATATTTATTTTTTGTAGAGACAGGGTCTTGCTATGTTACCCAGTCTGGTCTCGAATTTCTGGCTTCAAACTGTCTTCCCACCTCAGCCTCCCATAGTGCTGGGATTACAGGCTTAAGCCACCACGCCTGGCCCTCAATCACCATCTCTGACCATCCTTAAATCTTGGTCTCCAGCCCCAATTTCTCACTTAAATTCCAGACCCGGGGTTTGTGCAGCCTCCTGGGCCTCACCACCGCACATCCCACACTGGGCTCCATAGCTTCCCAACTGGCTTCTCTGAGGCCCGATCTTCTGGTGAAAGGACCTTGTCCTGGACTTTTCCCCTCTCCCACTGTGTCCAGCCAGTCCCAGGGCCTGCCTCCTGGACCTCCTGGGCGTCTCTTCCATCTGCGCCTCCTCTTCTTCCCACAGTCTCGCCCCGACGTGACACCATCTCACACCCACCCCCAGCTGCCTCCCTGGACTCCCGGGCCCCAGTTCCAGCCCCACCAATCCGCCCAGAGACATCTTTCCAAAACTCCAACTCACCGTGCTCCTCTCCGGCTTGAAGCCCTCCCCTGGCTTCCTAGAGCCCCCAGGACAAGTCGAAATTCCCTCAAATAGACCTCTGGCCTCTGTTCGTTTCTCCCCCACTCCCCATCCTGAACTCGACACGCCCCTCCCCCCCGGCCCGACAGTATCTCTGAGTCCCTGCAACAAGCCCTATCTCTGTCTTCTGAGTGCAGGACCCCTTGATCAGTTCGTCCTGATCCAGGACAGTGTGTGGAAGGACGCGATTATAAAGTGGCAGCAACGACTCCCACTATTGACGGCCTGCTTTGTGCGGAGCGCTCTGCATGCTATGCTTTCAGTCCTACGGGGCGGATCTCGCCTCGCTCTTCCCACTCGAGGGAGGAAGCAGTAGATTCAGGGCGGCGCGGTGCGGAAGATGAGACTCCAGAAGCCCGAGCACAGACTCTTCCTCTGAGCCGCCCGAGGGACCGCTGGGCAGAGGCCTTGGGCGGGGCGGGGAAGAAGAGGCCTTGAACGCCAGAATACGGAATTGTGATTTAGCTCCGGAAGAAGACCGGCGCGAGGCTGCCCCCTGCGGGCCTGGA